AAAAAAACTTACAATTACAATTACAATCTAACAACCTAATGTTTTCAAATGAACCATTAGTTGCTCAAGAGACTGTTGAACGAGTCAAGGAGATGGGGGTATGGCAGGGACCAAGCTGATCAAACTATGGTTGGCTGAGCGATGAGATTAACCTTTCAATAATGAAACTATTAAGTTTAATTCAATGTTTTGTTTCCTGAAAATTCTTTTCTTTTATATGGTACATCATATTTGATATAATAGATATAATAGAAATTTGAATCCTTAACATCGATCCCAAATGAAAGTTTTTTAATTATTGGTACTAACCTCAAAATTCTTAGTTGTTGCGCCACTTCATGGTACATGTACATTGGCTAAAACCCAAATCTACCCTCCAAGTATGGGTGCAAGCACACTCTAAGTATAGGAGTAAGCACATATCTACCTTCAGACTAAATATCAGAACAAATTATCCTTCTAACTAATATACATTGGATAGATTACTTCAATTTTAATTATTGATATCTTATGACATCAACTTTCCATTACTACTAGCATATATAAAAATGTCACATAAGCAAAAAGCAATGAAAAGCTGACATCATACAATGACAACAATTGAATTTGTTATTATTTGTCCAATTTAATTAGTTTGTAGGGTAATTTGTCTTTTCATTTAGTTTTAGGGTGAAACTATCCTTACCCTGTGGGGCAAATTTAGGGCTTTGGTGGACATGTACGTTTCATACGTGCTAGTCACTTTTGACAAAAAGTAATAATGGATTCTCCGATCACTCCTATTATAAGCAACTAAACTTTATTCAAAATTGATGGAAGAAAGTCAATTGATAGACGTAATGCGCCCCTTACAAGACCATGTAGAGGCAAGGAAATCTTCTCTGGAAAATTAAGTTCAAAGATATTTTGCCCTGGTACAAAAAGGTTGCTGATCTAAAGGGCATTAAAGTGATTAAATTTGCCAAACAAGATATAAATAAGGCCTAAATTACAAAGCAAAAAAAACAACTACAGTAACTGGAAAAAATGTAAATGGTAGAAGCAAGGAGAGGTTAATACTCAAAGAAGCTACTTGCATTTAGGTAGAACTAACTATCATAAAAGAAAGCATGCTAGGCTAAGTTTGGTGAAGTAGAGAGCAATTAATTATATCTACCTAGCAGAAAGTAACCTTAAAAGAAAGAAACAAAGGCGACTATCCTTATCTTGCTCGTTTAAATTGCACAACTTCTCGAGCTCCATTTTGGCTAGTTGTCATCTCGATTTGCTGCAGTGACTTCTACTCTACCACATATCCAAGTTCAAAAGCCATTTTTAATTCGAGAGCCCTTTTGAATTCAACATCTTCATTAAATTTGCAACTCAATACTTTTTTTAAATTGGCAACATGTATAAGAGCATTTATCTATCCTGCCTTCTATATGGCAACAACTTAAGATTTCCCTTTATTTGGTTTGAGAGAAATAAAGGAAAGAGGAGAAAAGGAAGAGGAAAATGAAAGGATATCCTTTCTTTCCCTCTTATTTCCCTAAACTAAGGGAAATCCCTCACCCCTCCTCCCCTCCTCTTTAATTTTTTATTATCTAAATAGAGAATTCTCCCTTCTCTCCCCTCTCTTCCTCTCAAATCAAATAAACCATTCATATTAAATACTAAAACTCTATTTGATTTAGCCATTTTCATTAACCAAATAGAGCATACTAAAGCTTTGCTCGGCAGCAACCAAACAAAGCATTACTAAAACTCTATTATACTCTGTTTAGTTTAGTTATTTAAAATGATTTGTAGTTGATGGTATTTCATGGTTAGTATTGTTTATAATTTAAACACTATAAACCTCTCATTTATAGGTAGTTCAAGACATCTAAGCCAAGGCCAAAATCACAACAAACATTCATCTTCAATCAAAATGGGGCGGTAGAATCTTGTCCATTACACCCAAATTCAAACACGTCACATTCACATAGTCGTTTTATTTGTATAATTTTAGACCCGATCCGGTACCAAGTTCAAGCTCGTATTCGTCACACAGTTGTTATTCAAAATACTTTTTACTCTATCGTTTCAGATCTAACCTTTCTCCTTCCTTCCTCTGCTGTGCTTTTGCTATTTCCTAGTTTTTTCACCTTCAGATTCGTACGCTTGATAGGGAAGAAGAGAAAAAGGAAAAAAACCCTTTTGCTCTCAGTTAATTATCTTGGGTACAGGCCACGGCATCACACAGACAGGCGTTCACCTTTAATAATAGATTGAAGTTGTCCAGTACAAAACTAGAGCATCTGACCGCAGGTGTCTCAAGTGTTATTATGATCTACTCTTCCTTATATTTTATCTCTACATGCTCTAAATTTAAATTTATATAGATGTAAGATCTTAATCTATGAGATAATGCTTTCCTTAATATTATTAATAGTAATATGTTAATTAAAAAAAGAAAATAATAATGCAAATTATATGTAGAGTTTTCAATTCCATAGGTGAGAAAAACTAATATTACCACTAGTACGTGCAGCGAGGACTTGCTATATAACTGGGGATATGCTAATAAGGCTTGTATTACGGAGTCAAGGAACATCATTCCGATATTGCTTTTGTGAACCATTTGGCAGTCTCGCTAGACTTGCAGCTCAACACGGTTCCGCCAGCGCCCCATTTACTGTCCAAGTATTCACCGTGCTCAACTCCCTTACAGTGTTCTCTCTTATTTCCTGCTATTTTCATGAAATGATATTTAAACAGCCAACTTGTATTGCATAAGTTCTCAAAACTACCTTACAATGACTGCTGTAAATATTGTCGACCATTTATGGGCTTAAGGAGGTGGTACTGAACTCACCTTGAAACGACAATATCTGACAATAAGAGAAAATAGGCAAAATACAAGATACGACCAAACTGAAAAGACTAAATGACTTTAAGTCCCACAAACTCTCAACTCCTAGTTTTGGCCCGATTCCCCCCAGACTTGGATGCTTAAAACCTGGACATACAAGATCGCAAATTATGACCTTAATCAGCAACTCAGACAAAAAAAATCAGCAAATTAAATATATTCAAAACTGTTTACAGTCTCCTCACAGAAACGTAAGAACAAAACTAGATTACCAATGGCCCAAAAAAATAAGCTAGAATACCAATTTTGTTTTATTTTTTCTCTCATTTCTTCTGTTCATAGCACTGCAGCCATGCAGGACTGAAGCCAAAGATAATAGGACATTCTACATATCTTCAAAAATACCCGTAGTGTCAATTTCTTTGTTAAGATAATGCCAAGAAAGCCATTCAAGAATATCAAGTTCTTCCTCAACAGCTATAAAGTGTAAAACTGCACACATTACTCTAGCAAGGTTCACATTAAACCCAGCACTAAACTAGCTTAACTAATGATAGAAAATAGGGAAGTTCCAGTGGTCCAATCAAATAAGAGAATTGTTAAGAGTCAAATCAAAGTTAAACTCTTTAAAAAAAAAAAAAACTTGATTAGCAAAATAAAGAACTCCATTCTAAGTTGGAATTAATTGATTTACCAAAATGCAGTGAATTTAAATATTTCCGGTATACTACATTAGAGGCATATTAGCAAACTACAGCCTCATTGAATGAGTTAACAATCCACTTGAAACTCATCCAGTAAGGTCAGAATTTTCAATATTGCATAACGTTGTTACAGTAGATTTTATGTGTGGAAAATACATAGAAAGCTGAGGAAATAAAGAGTGGAAAAACAACCAAGAAAAGACTTAAATGATGCTGTAAAGTAGTTATAAGACAGCAACCTAATGTAAAACAGAAAAGGAAAAAAAAAAAGGGAAAGAAAAACAACCATGCAAAAGACTTAAACAAGGCTGTAAAGTAGTTATAAGAACCTTCCAAACCATCTGAAAAAACAATATATATACAAAGATAATAATTTACCGCATCATACCAATGCTGCAAGGAATTGCCATCATCAGTTAATATAGTCTCAACGTCTGGACCTGCGATCATCACTCCTGTCATATCCATGAAATTTTCCCTCACTTGATTCAAAGTCATCACGTCTAGCTCTCTTGGAATAATCTAATTGTCTGTCCCTCTCATGACCCTTACTTCTGTGCTCTTCTTCCTCCCATCTTCTTTCTCTTCTGCTGCTTCCATATTGTGGCTCCTCATCATCTTTTTTATGGCCTCTATCTTCATGCTCCACTTCATCTCTGATGCGCTTTCTCCCTCTATGCTCCTCTTCATCCCTGCCATGCCTTCTACTGCCTCTATGGTCTTCATAATCCCTGTCCCATCTGTTTTCACTTTCTGTTCCATTATCCTTACTGTGAATCCTTCCTTCTCGTCCACCATTCTCACCATCATGGTCTGTTCTAGATTTAATAGGCCTAGAGAAATCGTCTCTTCTACTGTCATCCCTTTCCCTATAAGCTCTAGATGATTCAGTGTCAAATTTAGCATCCTCCAGTTTATTCCTCTTGTACCCCACATCTTTTCTGATATTCCGGGTCCTTGATTTTGATTCTGGCTGCTGATCAATGTAACCATCATCAAGCTTCCTCTTACCCTTCTCTGTAACCTTTTTTCCCTTTGTATAAGTTCCTCTATCAGAATCACTATCATCTGTACCATGACCTCGTTTTATCAGGTCCTTGTTCTTTCTTGCTCTGTCAGATCCACCATCTATGCCATCTTGCTCTCCCCTGCGGCCCCCAGTATGCTCACCCTTATGTCTTCTAACTTCAGAACTTTTCTTTTCTCTCCAACCATCTTTATCAGAGTCATCCTTAAAATCCTGCTGTCGCCTTGTTCGCTCATGATGACTTCCCTTCTGATTTTTGTGCATAGACAGTTCTTCATCATTGCTAGAACTATCATCTGAGTCATGCCTCCCATGAGCCCGTTTGCTCTTGCTAGCATCTTTTTTGGAAGAAACTTTGATGGTACCATCATAATCACTAGCAGAATCAGAATCAGCAGAGTCATGTCTTCTGCTCACACGGTGCCCCTCTGTGGATTTTGTCTTTTGTCTAGATGATCGTCCATCAAGACTAGAATTATCATCTGAATCTAAATTACGCTTCCTATGAGACCTTTTCTGCCTGTGAACATCCTTTTTGCCAGCAACCTTGACAGCAGCATCATCACTAGCCGAATCAGAATCATCAGTGCTGCTAGCTGAATCAGAATCATCAGTGTCATGCCGTCTGCTTCTATTGTGCTTCTTTGTAGATTTTGTCTTCCTATTCTTCTTGCCAGTATCAACACCAGTATCACTTTCACTTTCACTGTCATTCCTTTGACCTTTTTGGTTTTTCTTCAGAGTGCCTCTTGCATGTTCCCTATTATCATCTGTATCAGAAGAATCAGAAGCATCATCATCATCATCATCATCATCATCAATCCTCCTCTTTTCTTGTTTCTTCCATTTCCTTGGGTCATCAAATTCGTCGGCTTCTTCTTTGTTTCTTTTACTCTTAACATTCTTAGCACCCTTTTTCTTATCCTCTTTTCCAGATTCAGAATCATCATCAGAACGTTTCTTCCACCTAGCATCTCTATCCAAAAATGCATGTTCACGCTTCTCACGTGGCTTCTCATGATCACTCCTTTGACCAATTCTTGGAACATCACCAGTACCCTCACCCTCATCAATTTGTTGGTTCAATTCAGATGAGCTAATCCCAAGAGCAGCTCTTAAGGTCTCCATCTGCTTTTCCTTCCTAGCAGCAACTTGGTGTGTCTGCGTTTCGGTCCTGTCAAACCCAATAACAAAAAAATCAACATACATATACTGCATAATAGATAGACCACGTAAAATGTATAAACCCAATACCTAGAATTAGCCACAGACAACATATGCCAACAATAATACATAAGATAGATGTGAGAATAGAATGAATGAATTAGTTACCTATTTTCAGAGAGCACAGTGATCTCATCAGAAGCGGCAGCAGCTTCCAACACTTTCCTGGCCTCAAGAAGCTTCTCAGCAATCTCAGCATCGGTGTAGCCCTGCTCCGTGAGTTTGTCCTCCAGGACGACAAGCTTGAGCTCGGTCTGACGCTTGCGATCATGCTCGAGGATGTCCCTGTTGGGTTTCTTGGTGAGGCCGGCGGTGCCCTGACCAGGCTCGAAACCCCTGGTGTTCTCGGTAACCTTATTCACCTTCGGCTTGACGAAAAACTTGTTGGATTGAGTGTAGCCGTTGGTTCCAGAACCCCGAGGGGTTTGCAATCCAATTCCATTGTACATTTGTTAGGGATTGGAAAAACCCTAGATCTGGAAACTGGGTTTTTGAGATTAGGGATAAAACCGAAATTAGACGATCCCAATACATATTAACGAAATATCTTCTACAACCTACAAAATATGGCACTAAATATAGAAAATTTCACAAAATCCTACCTTTGCACTTCGCCAGCAATTTAGATTCCTCCAAGAAATCTGGGAACCGCGTTGAAACCCGAAAGGTTAGAGGAGAATTCAGTTGAAGTTGAAGTTGAAGATATGAAGATATCAGTGGTATCCAGCGCCAATAAACATACTCTATTTCAGCTTTTTTTTTTCACACTTCATTATCGCAAAATAATTTTGCGAAAACCTTTTTATATTAATTTTGGAATAATTTTTTTCTATAATTTAATTTATATAAAAGATTTATAATATTAAATTTATATATTTATCTAACTATATAAAAATTATATAAAAATTATATAAAAAATTTATTTCATCAATCATTTAACCAAAAAAAAACAAAGATGACCAGACGTACGACGTCGGTGGTATCCCGGTATACAACAGAATTTTTCGAAGATAGGCGGTTTAGTGCAGCGGGTAATAGTCAGCATATAACGTGTGATGGACCTAATCACTACATACATAATGGTGTTTGTTGTGAACTTTTCATTTTACAAACCACTACACTGTTTCGGAAAAAATTTTATTTGGTGGTTTGATAATACAGAGGTTAGACTTTAGAGAGGTTAGAGCCTTAGAGGTAGCCGTTTGGGATTATTTTTTTATGGTATTTTTTCATGTAGTATCTACAAAATTATTAATTTATGGAAAATGTTGCACATTAATTTTGAATTTTAAAATAAATTGAAGTATTAAATTTTAATTATTTTATTTTATTTAATTAAAATTTATTGAAATAATATAATTTTAAAAAATTTTAATATAATTTTTATAGGTCAAATTGATTAATATTTTTTATTATTTTATATTATTTATTTATTAATAAAATTTTAATAATTTCACTAGTCAAAACTACATTAAAAAAAGTACAATTGTATTAAAAAAACACCTTTCCCTTGTTATATTTCCTTGAGTAATCAAGAATTAATGTAGAAAATAAGAGCAATTTAATTCAAATCACATCACATTCAGACGACATGTGACATGTATAAAGAGACATAATTTTTTTTTTAACATGATTATAATTGGGGGAGGGAATAAGGGAAAGGAATCCATGGATAAAGAGATATAAATTAAGGAAAAAAGTTTAGAGTTTGTCATTAATTTAAAATTAAAAAAATGGTTGGAAACATTTTCTACAAAGCGTTGTATACTATTTTGATGTTATGGAATAGGAAAGAGTATTGCTATTTAGGCTTCGTTTGGTGATTAATTTCAATAATTAATAGTTATAATAATTAATTGATAATTGATAAAATAGTTGATGTCAGTTTAACATTAATTTATGAGTTGATAATTTCAAACACTTTAATAAGTTATTTTAAAAAATATTTTGATAAAATTAATCAAACTAAATACACCCTTAAATTATCTAAACTAGGGACCATAATAGTAATTTTAAAAAAACTAATAATATTATATTTACAATATCATATAAAATTATAAACTTATAATCATAATGTATTATTAAATAAGTGTTATCTGTTATTAAATAAATATATATATAATATCACAAATAAATTCCTAAATAAAAAGAGATAATTATACATCAATATCATGTTATAAGTTTAATAAGTATATTATTTCAAAAAAACAAAAACCCCACCTTTATAAACCTGGGGCGAGTTAGGGGTGGCCAAATGGAGCCATTTAAAAAAAAAAAGGTACTGGAAATAAAATAAATGGTAATTCACCTCTATCACACTCAATCTTTTTGATATAGAAATAGTTTCATCCCTAACCTTTATGTGGTTTCCCTATCGTCCTCAACTTTTATGATGACAACTAACATTGGTCTTACAATTACAATTGGTCTTAATTGTTAAATTCAAACTAAATGCTGACATGATAGTTAGTGAGTTGCAGTTCAAGTTATATCAAATTCTATAATTATAATTATTGGGTAGGAGGTTAGCTTTTTGGTATTAGAGATCCTTTCTCTCTCTAATAACTTTTGTTTTATAGTTTAATGCAATTTAAATTGTAAAATAAAAGACTTAATTTTTTTACTTAAATAAGTATCATGTTAGATTTCAAATCTAATATACAGTAACCATAACAATCATAGCAATTTCGAGGGTATAGATAAATTCAATTATTTTAAACTTGGACTTCATTTAAAAATGTGCTATGGTGCTTT